TATATACGTCTGTTTGGCAATACATATTAAATAGATGAGTCATGTAAAATGCATTGTCTTTAAGAAATGATCACGGACCAACTTTTTAAAAGTGTACTTATTGGGAGCTTTTCTGATGTCATCGGGCAAGGAGTTCCAAAGGCGTGTAGCCTGAATTGTGAAGGAGTTACCATAGAACTCGGTGAAGTGAACTGGAGTACAGATTTTGAACATTGTAATTATGGAAAGAAAATTAAATTTTGGTAAATTAATTTAACCCAGTTGTGAATTAATTTTCCTTACCTGTATAAAATGCTTTTTGTATACCAAAAGCTTTCCTCAAACCTGTTACTTAAAATTCTAGTTTGAGTGAAACGGAGAGAACCAGTTGACGAAGTCTGAGCGAGATAGATAGTGGTGCTACTTTTTTCGCTGTCGCATACACAATTAAGTTCAGTACGTTACGCACCTGCGCTTACTGCGCATCTTTCTGTATTCGTTCGTGTTGATTTCGTACTAACCACATTTGGCTTCGTTTATTGGACTTGTTTGTGTGTGATTTGGATTTAGCCTGTTTAGTTTCTCTTTAAGACGTCTTTTGCTTTCCCTGTGGACTATCGTTAAGTGTGATTGTGCATTATAATCATGTCTGTGACACTACACAAGAATATGCTAACAATGGAATACAGATGCAACTCTAGTGCTGCAGCTAGACTATCGTGAGAGGTACCAAAACGCTGCTCGTCATCGATTGTTTCCTTCCTGGAGGGTCGACTCCGAAACCACGCGGATGGTGAGGGGAAACCTTTTCTCCCTTACGAGGACGTTGTACTAGAAGCTGTCGAAGAAGATCCGAGTACTTCAGTGCGTGCAATAAAATTAAGAACTGGAGTACCAAAAGTGCTCTCACAGGATATTTAAAAAAAATGAGCTTCACCTATACCAAGTACACCGAGTACAAATTCTTCTTCCTCGAGATTATGAGCCTTGGGTTGCTTTTTGTCAAACAATGCTAGAAAGAAACAGGAAAATCCACGATTCCTTGAAAAAAAAATTGTGGTCGGATGAATAAGAAGATGGATACATGAATCTGCACAACTTACATGAGTGGCACGTAGAAAATCCAAAGAGAAAATCTATCATAGTATCCCTTTAACCTTAACCTTTGGACTAGAATTTTGAATGAACAAATAATCGGTCCTTTCGGCAGTTTATTTGGATTTCTTACAAAATCATTTGCCAAATTTATTGGAGGATGTGACATTAAGTAGCTACAGGGACATGTAGTTCCAAAAAGACGGTTGCCCAGCGCCCTACGGCCCGCTCAGCTAGAGAATGTCTCGATGAAGAATACCCAAACAGATGGATAGGGCGGTTTGGTACAATATAATATATATATATATATATATATATATATATATCTATATACCAGCCCGTTCATCTGATTTGAATCCATTATATTTTTTTAGCCGCCGTCAAAAAAAGTTTATTTAAAAACAAATGAAAATGTAGCTGAGCTACGGTAAAGACTAACTGAAGCGGCTGAATTTGTAAATAATGGTAGATTTGCTCGTCTGATAACCCGATCCTTTTTAAGAAGATGCCGAGCGTGTATTGCGAGTGAAGGAAGGCAGTTTGAACATTTGCTGTAATTTTTTTATAGGAGAGAGGGCAAACGAGCATACGGCTCACCTGATGGTAAGTGATTACCGCCGCCTATAAACAACTGCAAGACCAGGGGAATTGCAGATGCGTTGCCAGCCTTTTAAAAAGAAGTAGGCTTTTTTCTGGTGGTAGTCGATTCCACAAGAAAGTTGTGCGAGGAAGAAAACTTCTTTTAAATTGCACGGTCGTGGACCGCCAGTCATCCAGATAGCCATCATATACCATCCATAGATGGTATATCGAGTTTTGTCGCGATGTGCGATGGTGAAATTGTGCGGCGGGAATTAGTACGAACAATTCCTCAGAGCATTCCCCGTGGTAGATACGATAAAATACGCAAAGAGATGCAACATCTCTTCGCAGTGCCAGTGAGTCAAGCCGATCCGAAAGAGCTCGATCGCTTACGATTCAAACAGCTCTGCGCTGGATGCGATCAAATGGAAGGAGCTGGCACTGGGGAGTCCCGGCCCAGAAATAGGAACAGAATGTGCGGCCGAACCTGCGTCTTATAAATTGCAGGCATAAAATACTGTCCCGCTTTGCTGAGCACGCCAAGCTTTCTAGAGGCCAATTTGGCCTTCTCTTCCAAGTGACCACGAAACTGCACGTCACTCGATATGTCGACGCCAAGGATTTCTATACTGGCTGAGAAACAGAAGATACGAAGGGGTTTTTTGCGGTAAACGCGCAAAATTTTGTCTTCTGGGGATTAAACTGGACTAGATTTAGTCGCCCCCAGACAGATTTTGTTCAACAAAGTCTCGACTTCAGACACACGTTTGTGTGTCTGAAGTGTGTGACGTTTTCCCGAGATATATTGGCACGGCCGGTGTATAAAGCATCACCAGTGCTGTCGTCTGCATAGCAATGAATGTTACCAGTTTGCAACATGTCATTGGTATGCGGAAGAAACAGCGTTGGTGATAGCACACAGCCTTGTGGTACACCAGTGTTATCATCATCATCATCATCATCATTACAGCCCTTCACAAGTCCACTGCTGAACATAGGCCTCCCCCAAGGTATTCCACAAAGAAGGGTGGTACACCAGTGTTATCATCATCATCATCATCATCATTACAGCCCTTCACAAGCCCACTGCTGAACATAGGCCTCCCCCAAGGTATTCCACAAAGAAGGGTCCTGAGCCACCTGCATCCATCGACTTCCTGCATATCTTACCAGGTCGTCACTCCATCTAGTGGGAGGTCGCCCTACACTTCTCCTACCGGTACGAGGTTGCCACTCGAGAACCTTTTTTCCCCAACGGTTGTCGGTTCTTCGAGCTATATGGCCGGCCTATTGCCACTTCAGCTTACTAATCCGTTGAGCTATGTCAGTCACTCTGGTTCTACTGCGGATATCCTCATTTCTAAGTTTATCTTAAGTAATAGGCTTGAGGAAAGCTTTGGGGTACATAAGAATCATTTTAGACGGGTAAGGAAAATTAATTAACAACTGGGTTCCTTTAAAAAAATTCCATATTTTAACAAATAATTTTGCAAGTGTTCTTTTTTGCTATTTTGGAAATCCTTTATTTTAAATTTGGATTTTAAAATTTGGAATAAATGTACCAACTATTAAAGTTACTTGCCAAACTCGTAGAGTACATTTTTTTGTACAGTCATTTAAAACTGGACAAAGTTTTTAATTTTGAATACTTAGTTGGGAAAAAAATTACATTTCCTTCTGGACTGAAGCAGTTGGCTGTAAATTTTAGGCAACAGTTTTCAGAAGCATTAATTCAGGATTACATAATAAAAAGAAAATTAAAAAAAAGTTAAAATTTGTAGCAACAGGAGTTAAAAGACCGTCACAAGATAAATGCCTGTAATTTTTAAAATACATAGCAAAGATTTTTTTAAATATTTTTCTGTTAACTATTATGTCATGACCTATCACCCGATTCCGGCTTGACGTCGACTTTCTGTATAACGTTGAAATTCATGAAAATATGCTTGCGTAATGTTCATTATCACATTTTACATAAATGTGCATTTGTTAATAAACAGGTTTCAATGTTTTATTAAAGAATAATTGTACAAAAAGTGTTTTTATAATGTCGAAGAATACAAAAATGAATATAAACCCTGGGAATGAGATTTGAAGAATGAGAACCCTGGGATGATGATTTTTATTGCTATCACCCACTTAATTTTTTCCATTCAAGGCCTTTCTGTAATTTGAAATTAGTAAGTATTTAACCACATTATAACAAAGATATTAAAAGTCTTATTTTATACATTCATCCATATGGATTAGGTATACAAATGCTATTTACTTCTAATACTACGATTATGTTATAATTATTATTAATACTGTGTTAACTTATAATACATGCTACCAATTACTCGACTCCACAGAGTTAGTAATTCATTTTTGGGGCAATGTATATGCTATTACAACAAAGTTCCAGAAAATATACAAGGTCTCTCTATTACCAAGTTTAAATATTTAATTAAACAAAAACTGTATAAAAAGGGTTATTATGATATAAATGAATATATACATTACATACACACATAAACACTCACGCCTGTCACCCAGAGGGGTAGGCAGAGACTACAGACTTCCATTTAGCACGATCCTGACATACTGATCCTGATATAAATGAATATATGGTTGATAATAATCCCTGGGAATGAGGTGGTCGCTTCCAAGCTATTTCTAAAATAAATTTTGTAAATATTTTGTGACCCTTGCCATTGTAAAATTTATTTAAAGAAAAGTCCCGCTGGGTTTCTTGCTGGTTCTTCTCAGGACGGAGGTTTTATTCGAACCAGTGGTAACGTAAAATAAGAATTACCTGTAATCTATATTGAATAAAAGAATATTCTAATCTATTCTATGATTATATTATAAAGAAGTCATGTTATTAAAAATATTTAAGTACAATGTGGCAAAGCACTAGTTCTAATTCGGGTAAAACACCATGAGACTACTCCCTAAGTAATTTTATTAAAATCAGTGTTTTCCTATCGAAATATTACATAACGATAAAAATGTCATTTTTGTTCTTAGTTTGCTTCTGTGAATCGTTTTTGCAGTTTGGCACTGCACATTTCACAATGGTGCCTTAAAATTCAAATAAATACCATCGGGACAAAAAATTAACGCGTGTGAGAAAAGAACATTCGTGCTTACTGTTCACACTCGCTAAGGCGCGCACTACAGCTTGCTTATAAATAAGATTGTTTTACATACTAACCGAATGAGTTAATAATGTGCCTAAAAGAAGTAATAAATATTAATGGCCAAAGTGTATGAGTGGGCCAATGTTTTACGGAAGGACAAAGTTACCCCGAATGACTGTAGCTTTTGAGTCAGAATATTTAATATTAAAAGGTTATTTACAGGTGACACTCGTCTTGGATTAATGTGGTCTTGTATGACACTCTACAATAGACCTCAAGTATGTTTCACTCCGGACTTGCAACCTGAATGGCTATTAGCATTGATTTGTATACTTATTGGATGTGTTTGTATTACAAGTACCGTAATACTCTTGGCATCGAGCCATTTTGATCGTAATGTCATTCCATACGCAAGATGGGTCGGCTTTGCAGCAAGTATGTAAAATGAACCTTTTTTAAAGTAATTAAATTTACGCTTTATTTTTAATGTAATGAAATTATTTAACTTAAACTAATTAAATAAAAACATTACTATTTCAGTGGTTGCATTTTGCCTTGCTGCAGTTATTTTTCCAATGGGATTTCATGTAGATGAAATTGGTGGACAACCATACCAGTTACCAAATAGTCATCAAGTTGGAATATCGTACATACTGTTTGTACTATCACTATGGATAACTGTAATATCAGAGCTATTTGCTGGAAAAGTATGTTTACCACACTTTTAGTTTTTATTTTGCTAATAATCTTTGTGATGTAATAATATAAGATAAAATATGAGAATTATTGTAATTTATATTTTTAAGTACAATTTAACAAAATTTTTACTTAATCCATTTAAATTTTTATTTAAAGGCATAGCTGGTATAGAATCTCGGATTTTATTATTTTTAATTATTTTGTATGTTGATGTATAATTATAACAATATGTTATTAAAGAACTACTGAATAATTATCATTATTTTATTATTATGAAATAACTACCAACTATCATTATTCAAAGTGTAAATTTCTACTTCAATAAAAAATTGGTTAAACGCAAAATATATGATCCAAAAGTCCACAGATTGAAAATGTTTTGAAATAAACAAAGCAACTAAACTGTTTTTCTTTTCATTTCTAATCTCCCTTAAGCGCATCAGATTTTTATTTACTGGAATCTCAGACGAAATAAAAACTCAAGACAAAGCGCCATCAGAGCGCTGTCAACAACGAAGTGAGGTCGGTTTGGTAATTTAGTATAATATATTATTTTCTGAGTACTATCAGGATAAATGGATAATTAAAAAGATAAGTTAGTAATTTTTTTTGATTTTATACCTCACTTTAAGTAGAATGTATGTTTATTTCGACTAAGTAGGGGAAAAATAACAATAGTAATATGAAAGAAACATTGTTTTTATTTTAATAGCCTTTTTGTTGTTTCAATTTTTTTGAAATAATGCCGTTTATCGTCTACCGTTTTGGAAATTGTTTCCAATTTAGAAATATGGTGAAAAATGATTGATATTTTTCAATTATGCATTTTATTAAGCTTATTTTATGCTCTTGGCCAGCATAATTGTGCTCAGTCTCGAAACGAGCTATCACTATGCTTTTATTAATATCATAAACGAAATTTTTAAATTTATTATTATACTAGCTGTTACCCGCGGCTTCGCCCGCATGGTCACTGGGAAATGAACTATCCATTGCTTTTTGAATTGAAAGAAAACTGAGTTTTATAAATTTGTCAGAGATGCAGCCATTAAAAGGAAACTGAGCAAAATTGATTCGTCAGCCTATTTAAATGTTTTGAAACGCAGCGTACGAAAGCATGAAAATCGCCTGTTTATTCCAAATGGAAATGGGATATTTTTTTAATTAAAGGAAACTGAGCATAATTATCCGTCAGGGATGCAGAATTTTGAAGGATAGAAACTGAGCTAAATTGATTCGTCAGAGATGCAGTTTTCTGAATTAAAAGGAAACTGAGCCAAATAAAAGATCCGTCAGAGATGCAGCCTTTTGAGTTGAAAGGAAATTGAGCTTATTAGGTCCGTAAGAGGTGCAGCATTTGGAATTGAAAAGAAACTGAGCTAAATAGGAAACTTTGAATTGAAAGGGAAGATCTGGAGAAGAAGATGCAAATTCTGATTAATTGATTGTTGGAATTTTGGAAAAAAACTAACTGAACACTATTTTAAGACGCTACTGTACACAATGTTATATGTTTTTCCATTCGGGGAAAGAATGTGGAGATTCTGGGCATTTGACACACGCGAACATGCTACATACAGCTGACCATGAGAGAAGCAAGGTTTTTCTAAGTTGACCCCCGCTACCTGTAACGTTTTCCCTTGCGCTTTATTAATTGTGATTGCAAAACTGAGCTTAATAGGGAACTGCAAACTTCTGAATTGAAAAGGAAGATCTGTGGGAATTATAGGGATCCGTGGTATAATAACATTTTCACCTTTTCCTACGCCTGTCAAAAATGTAGCACCGATTGTGTTCCGTCCAAGATGTGTCACACGCAGCCTTGTCCCGTTACATAACCGAGGAGCATCTAAATTTCGCAATAGCATGACTGGGACGCCTAATTTTAATTGAAGCTTATGTGAGGGTACGTCTGACAACTCTAGAGAATTTAGAAACTCTGCGGGATATGAAGTGCTCTGTTCTGTGTCCATAACTGTGTCTACTGACAAATACTCTGTTATTTCTCCTGCTACTTCGCTTAATATATCTGAATTTATTTTGTTAACGCTCTCATTTTTTGGTGCAAGAATCGCCCTTTCACATAACCATTTGTCTTCATGCATGTTGTTCGTTAAATCTGAATAAACGCTCGCAATTAATTCGGAATGACTCTGTACTAAATTACAAAAATCTCTCGTCAATTTAACGTAGCCCTCAGCATCCGTTTCCAACCGCCCATCGCCAATCAATCAACACTATTATAATAGTGTGTCAGCATAGTTTCCAGCATTGATATCATTATACAAATTCACTCTCATATTCGTAGTTAATCTGAATTTTGTCACCTTGTTCCATAAAATAGACGACTTGAGGTATGCATTAATTTCATCTGCAGGTGTGCCCTTTTGAATGACAGGTAAAGTTTGGCGAAAGTCACCAGCAAGTAAAACCACCATTCCTCCCATTTACATCGGTATTGCTGCGCAAATCCTGGAGCGTTCGATTTAGTACTTCTACAGCTTTTTTATGCGACATTGTACTTTCGTCCCGCACTAAAATTTGCATTGTCGTAGCATTATACCTCGTGCACTATTTTTGCTATAGTTGCAGATTGGCGATTCTTCCTGGGTTAGATTTCGAGGGAGTTTTAAAACAGAATGTGCAATGCAGCCCCCGCTAAGCAGCGTGGCGGCTTTTTATCTTTTCGTTGTCATTGTGCACTGTTTCTTTTAATAGCTGTTTAGGGAATTTCTTTGTAAATTTTCCTTCTTTCATACATGGCGATATTGAATTTCGTGCTCCACATGGACCGTGAATCATATTTCGGACGATGGTATCATACAATTCTTTATCTTGCTCAGGATCTGGAATCTCGGCGCTAATTATGTCGTCTATTTGGCTGGGCCGCAACTTCTCTTTAAACCATATTAGAATGTGGGCATGCGGTAATCCTTTTTTTTGCCATTCAATTGAATACATGAAGCACTGCACCTCTCCGAAAATTTTCCCTTTGTTAATTACATACATTAATTTTTGTACTTTTAATCTAAATACTCTAGCAACTAAATCGTGTCTGTCAGTACTTTTTTGGCCCGGCATTAGCACCTCGTTTATTTCTTTCCATGTGGGATTGCAAATAAAAGTAACAAAAAAGATCAGGTCTTCCGTAAGTTTGTACATAGGCGAATGCGTCTTGTGTTAATGGATGATGAGGGCAGAATTACCATTTTACCTAAATCTCTGGGGTTTACATTGGCGTCGCTAGAAACTGCATCTTGTAAATGTATATAATTCTCAACGCTCAGCTTTTTTGATTTAAAGATATATATAAGATATATATAACGGAGACGTTCACTTTCTACCTTCATATACATGTCTACCAAAAATTGATGAAATAATTGTCTACACCGGGCTAAGAGGTTAAAATCATTTTCTCGCAACATCATATGATACGCATAAAAATCCATACATGATACTTTTTTGTTCGGAGTAGGCTCCTCTGTGACCGGGTTAATGAGTGGAATTTGAAAATGATAACCCTCTTGTCCTTTGCAATAAATCAATGGGTATTGCAGAGCGTCATAAAACTTGTGTGTATAGGCTACCCGTTGCAACGTATCATCACGTGCTCGCAAGGCAATGTCTCGTGAAGAAATTTGATCACCACTAATTACGGCTGCTATTTCGTTTATCAAAGGTGCATTGTAGCGCCTTTCATGCTCTCCTCGAGGGGTCCGATCTGCGTGAATGACGACTTTATAATCCTATTCAGGTAGGTTTTCTAAAGCAGTTTTAAATGTTTTGACTAAAATGTTACGTTCATGCAAGAATCTTTGAATTTTGAACACCGTGTCTCTCTCAACTCCCTGGATAAATTGGCAGCGACGGTCTACCTCAATTTCTTCGTCACCCATAAAATATACTTGTAAAAATTTATGCTGTTCGTTTTCAGCTGGAAAAAGTGAACCTATTCTATGATAAATTTGCCCTTGCACCGTAAATGTAGGCGAAAATCCCGGCATTATTATTTCCCGGTCAACTCCGAAGGACGTCATTTGAAAGCATGAGTTATATTTCCGGATCCTGTTTAAAAAGCGCCGTGACTCATTAGCATCATATAAAAAGAGAGTTTTCAAAGGTACCTCTGGTTCCCCAAGTAACGGAAGAGACACTTTGCCATTGGAACAGCACATGCCTGTGGTCTAATCTTTCCATTTTAATGTGCTGCAAAATCGACACGCCTTGTCCATCAGTCCGATGACACCTGTGATTTTAATAATCAATCAACGGATCATAATTGAATGCTGCGTCATTAAAAACCGACCAATTGTTTCTTTGAAAATTTTGGCGACGTTCAGCTTGGAGCTGTGCATTTGCATCTCTTCGCGCCTGTGTCTGTTCTGGTGTTTCAGATATCCTTATAGTAGATTGACGTTCAGCTTGCTCAATGGGTCTGTGTTGAGTTTCTTCAGGTGTTCCCGCGGCTCTTAAGGCGTCCGGACGTTCGGCTTGTTCGAATAGCCTTTGCTGACTTTGAGCAGGTGTTTCAGTAGCTCTTAAAGTAGATTGACGCTCTGCCTGTTCAAGACGCCTTTGCTGATTTTGATCAGGTGTATCAGTAGCTCTTAAAGTAGCTTGACGCTCTGCCTGTTCAAGATGCCTTTGCTGACTTTTAGCAGGTGTTTCAGTAGCTCATAAAGTAGCTTGACGCTCTGCCTGTTCAAGACGCCTTCGCTGTCTTGGAGAAGGTGTTTCAGAAGCTCTTAAAGCAGCCTGAAGCTCTGTCTATTCAAGACGCCTTTGCTGACGTTGAGGTGTCTCAGATGCTCTAAAAGCAGCCTGACGCTCTGCCTTCTCAGTTCAGCATCTTCTAAAGATTCTAGCGATCGAGCTAATCTTTTCGCTTGTCTTTGAGAAGATACTCTTGAAAGGCTGGACTTACGTTTGCGAGGCATTATGAAGTAACAAAAAACCTATTTATAAAAAAACGTTAAAATACCTAAAAGGAATTAAATTTTCTTTTAAATATTTTTTAAAAGCAAATCCA